ATTGAACACACACTAAGCTACACAGTTGGGAAAATAATAACTTAATCCCTAATTTGCCTCGGTGTGGTTCTACATCTATATCCTCATTAAGATGTCTTAAACTAGGCCTAATAATGCCTAGGATGAGATGATGATGCAAAGATGCACTTTAAAAGCATATTCAAAATTTTCAGAAAACAGGGGTCACGCTCGAGCGTATGTTACTCCGCTCGAGCGGACATGCAGACAAAGGTTTCTGCTCGAGCGTAGAATTACCCGCTCGAGCATTCTGCAAAACAGTCAAAAGTGCTGGATAGGTGAAATCCACGCTCGATTGGGCGCTCGACACCCGCTCGAGCGTAAGACACAAGGTTTCACTCGAGCGTAAATTACCCCGCTCGAGCTGACCTAAAAACAGAACAAAATGCTGGGAGCACGATTTCCACGCTCGAGCGCCAGTCACCCCGCTCGAGCGTGAGTTCAAAATCTGGAATTTCCAGATTTGAACCTCAAGCTCAAAATCAAGTTTTAAAACATAAATTTCAATCCTCTTGGGCCAATTTTCCAGGAAACATCCCAAAACTCATAGTTTAACATGATTCCAAAGCTCAACTGTAAAATCAAGGCCCAAGGGTGTTTCAAACAACTCAATTTCAAACCAATTTTCAAGAATATGAAAAACATGCAAACATGCATGAACTTAAACCATTTCAAAACTCAATTTCATGCTCTAATGAGCCAATTCTTCCAAGGACAAGATGAAATCATGGACTTAAACACAATATGAACATGCATATAACATTTTACCATGAAATCAACTCAAAACTCAACAATTCAAACATGCATGCATGGAATGAGCTCCAATTCAACATTATTGAACCAATTCTTGACTTAACTCTTTAATCTTCCATGATCCATGCTAGAAGGAACTTAAATACACAATTAAGAGAAGGAAATTCATACCTAGGTTCCTCAATTACAAGTCTAGAGGCTCAAATATGCACTTAAGCTTTTAATTCTTCAAGATTCAAGCCAAATCTCTATGTTGAATTCACTACTCTCACTATCACTCTCTCTTGGTCAGCTAGCAAGGACAAAGGGGCTGAGGAAATGTTTTTGTTTGAGTGTAAAAAGGCTCAAAGATGTCCTAGGTAGTGGCCCACTCACAAAGACAATTTGGTAGATAAGGCAACCTATGTGTTTTACATTCTTTAATTTAATTTAATCATACTGAATCACATTTTAACTGAATATGCCATAAAATCATATTAATTCTAAGGATCACAAATCATCAATCAATTTCAGATTTGGCCGCCAATAAGGCCTTCAATTCGCAATTTAAACACAAAGGCATGAACAGATAATCAAACAGTCAACAGATAGACATACAATTAAAAAGATATACTTAATCAATTTAGTTCCAAATTTCAGTCAATCAGTTCAGTACTTCAATCAATTCAGTTACCAATCATAATCAGTCTCAGTTTAGCAGTAATCGGTGGTTAATCGGTAAACAGTGACGAGAGTTGTTACAAAAGACAACATAGCGGATCCACTAACCAAAGGGTTAGCAAGAGAGCTAGTTGAGAATTCATCGAGGCGAATGGGACTTAAGCCTATTAAATAAGAGTTACCACAACGGCAACCCAACCTAGTTGACTGGAGATCCCAAGATCTAGGTTTAAAGGGACAATCGAGTTATGTATGACTCAGAAGAATCACTAGGGAGTCCAACTCCTACCCATTTCTAGGATGAAATAGTGATGTGTATAGCGTTTTAGGTTAAGTAAAATTTTAATGATTCTTATATCTAGGTAAAACTAGTGAAGTATGGCAGGATACTCTTCATAAGAATAACCTATGTAAGTGTGAACTGGGCCGATTCTATGAGATTTGTGAAGGGCTACAATTCTCTAGAGCACTCATGAAAGACCAGGTTGTTCAGGGCCAAAATGAACACAATAGTGAGAACTAAACTGTGTCTGGGGATATACTGTGTGAGTTCTATTGTCTTGGTTTACACAAATGACTGAACAATTCAAGACATCATGTTCACTGGTTAGCTAGTAAATCCGATAGTGTCTCACAAAGAAAGGTTCAAAGCCAAAAGCTACCTACCATTTGCAGAATATTTTCAATTTATGTACTCTCTGTATTTAGATCATGTTGTTGCATTTTCTCTCCGTCAAATTCCATTCATGTGGGGGATTGTTGGAAAATTGGTTTTATTATTAGGCTTATTTTATTTTGGGCCATCTTTGAGCCCAAAATTGAGTGAGCCCCAAACGTCTTTTGGGGCGGGTCCGAAGCGGTGACGTGTTCCTTGCCGCGTGGTAAGTCACACAATGCAGACAGTTCATCAAAACCATTTTGAAGTGAATGAGAATTTAGCGTCGTTTTCGGGTTCGTGGAATAGACATTTAAAGAAGTAAATGTGCGTTTCTTGAAATGGGTTGTCCCACATTGAAACTTTAAGAGAGTTTGTTTATATATATAAGCTCTATACTACAACACTTGGGTTAGGCCCCAAAAGGCACCCCAAGTTTGTAGAAGGGAGGAGTTATGGACAAAGTGAACCTTAGCCCAAACCACCACACACGTGCGCACGCCGCCGTCGCCGTCCGTCCAGCCGACCCGAGCAGCTGTGCCGCGCACGGGTGCGGGTTGTAGGTCGGTTCTAATATTAATTTTTTGAACAAAATTCTTTTGAATTTATTTCAAAAATTATTGCAGAAAATTATTTCAAATTCAAATTTGAATTCAAATTTATTGTCCAATAATTGTGTCTCCGAGTTCCATTTTTTTCCATACTGTTAAACAGGTTTAAACTGTCGAACAGATTCAAAACTGTCCAAAATAATTTTCTGCAAATTTCGAACAGATTCTGTTATTTCAAATAGATTTAAATCTACTAGGCAGATTTGAACAGATTCAAAACATAGTTCAACAGGTTCAATTTGTTCTAAACAGATTGGATAACTGTTCAGCAGTTTTAGACAGTTTTAAAACTACCAAACAAATAATAAAACTGTTGAATCTGTTTGAATTTCAAAACAGTATCTGTTAACACATGATTGCGCATGTTCAGTGACAAACAGCACATGTTCGGGGCTGTGTATTTTGCCTATAAATACAGATCATTCCAACAGTGTTTTGACATCCCAAAACAGTCTGAAATTATTCCATTTTGCTGTCCAAAATTTTCTCCTTTGCATTTTATTCTTCATTCTAGTTTTAGAGAAAATAAAGAGAGTATTGAACACAAGGTTCAAGCTCGCCGGACAAATTTGTTTGGAGTGCTATTACAAATTTGCTACTACAAATTTGTGAAGATCATTGTATCCTGGGAGATAGACGCCACATAACCGTAAGCATCGTAGCAGGGTGAATCTGTCTTAAGGACAGAGTGTTACACACTCGACTTGGTCTTTTATTTTTAATTCGGTACGTTATTTATTTATTTGTTTGGTTTTGTTTCAATTTGATTTATTTACACAGAATATTGTTCCAACATAAAATGATCTATCAAGAACATCAACAAACAAAGTGGTCAAGAAACCCTAAATTGGGACAAAGTTTTATAAAAAAAAAACACACAGAAACCCAATTCACATGAGCATTTATAAAAATTAAATCTGTGACAAAATTGCTGGATTTTAACAACAAAAAAAAAAATTACTGGAACCTTAAATCTGTGACAATCACATTTTTTTTAAAAAAAAAAAAACAGAAACCTTGATTAGGAATTAATCATGTAAATTACTGGATTTTAATAAAAATTACCGATGTAATCATGTAAATTACTGATGCATTTACAAAATTACTGGATTTTAAAAATTATTAATCATGTAAATTAGGAATTTGGGAAGAGAAATTGGAGGGAAAAAACGCAATGTAAGTATAAAGTGTTTGGAACAATTTTGTTCTTTCTTACCTTTAGTTCAGTGGAGAGGTGTCCCTTCGAGCTTCCAACTTGGGCATTTTATATTGAGATTCAAGTCAAGGGAGTTGAGAGTGGAGTGAGATCTAAAGCACAAAACTCGCTGCTGCTCGTCACTCCGGCGAAGGCCGTCATTCACCCTCATCACTCGTCGTTCACAGTCGCTGTTGCTCGTTGCTCCGGTGAAGGCCATCGTTCACCCTCCTTCACTCCAGCAATGCTGAATGTGAGTAGGGATCTTGAGGATTTTGGTTTGGTCATTTTAGGGATTTTGGTTTCAGATGGATTTTGATTTTGAGGATTTTGGGGATTTTAAGTACTTTGGGACACATGACCGCAAATGGGATACAAATGAGCGGGACAACAAATATTTATTTTTTTGCGACGGCATATTTCAACCGTCACAAATGATACATAATTAACCAATAAAAACGACGTCGTTTTACCCATATTTGTTTGCGATGGGCTTCTGCCATCACAAATGGTCCACCATTTGCGACAGTAACTTCTTACCGTTGCAAAATAATATTTTTTGCGACGGTATATCGTGCATCGCAAAAGGTCATTTTTCTCAATGGCAGATACACGCCGTTGCAAAAGATTTTTTTTGGCGACGACAACTATACTGCGTCGCAAAAAACCATTTTTTGCGACGGCAGTTACCCCGTCGCAAAAACCTTCGTGTTATTTGCCCTGTTTTCTTGTAGTGACTTTTAGGGGCGGATTTGGGTCGTGACACTAACATTGTTCCAAATTTTAATATGAATCGAATTTTATTAATTTTGAAAACTGGCTTTCAAAGGGAAAGTATCTGGAGAAATTTACATTCATTAGGCCAATTATCTTTTTCTCTAATGTGGGATTATAACACATTCATTCTCATTTTACTGATGAATTTGTTCAAAATTATCTATTCTAAATTATTCAATTACTGTTTTTTGTTTAATTGTTGAAGAATACAATTTGGAAGGGACTAATGAGGTTTTTCATGGCCAAATTTCATCACCTTTGGAATTTTCTTACATGCATGACTTGAGTTGGATAACTATTTGCTCACATACATTTAGATAAGACAACATCGTATTTCCATATTCTTTAATCAAAGTATATAGAAACTAGGCATGAATTAGGAGTTTCGACATGAATTTCATGCCCTCTAGAGGCGAAACTGTTTTTGTTGTCCCAAAACATTTCAAATTTCAAATCAAAAGTACAATTCACCAAACAATACACTTGTGATTAAGTAAAAGTGGAATTATTTCAACTGGAGAAGATGAGTGGAAAAATAAGAACACATTAATAGAAGAGACTTGGCATCACTGAGAATTGATTTGAGCAAATTCGAGGGGCTTCTTTCCTTCATGGGCATTACTAAAAAAGTTGTTCATGTAATCGTCAAATATAAATTCTTGATATCGAGCCACACCATCCCTCTCCACTAGATGAGGCAGTGGCGCAATTTTCTCTGATGATCGTGGCATAGTGAACAGAGGGATTGAAACTCTTGATTGAGTGCTTGTGGTACGCACTTTGTGTTCAGCGCTTTTGTACCTTCCATTGCTCAGTATCTAGTAAAAAAACAATACATTATTTAAAACAGAATTGTCAATTATAAGAGTCTAACGAGAGAAATTATATATAAAAACACACACACACCTGAAGGGTGTCACCAACATTGATGACCAGAGCTCCAGGGATGGGTGGTATTTCCATCCACTCTTCTCCTCGATTTCTTCTAGAATTTGTGTCATCTTCTACTTTGACATACAAACCACCAATGCCGTCTTGTAGTAAGACGGTTAGGATGCCTAAGTCCGAGTGGCGGCCCACTCCTACTGTGAGCTCTGGGTTGGGACATGGTGGGTAAAAGTTCATGTTTACCATCCTTAGCCCAATAAGTGCTTCAACTCTAGACTCATCTACTCTCACTCCAAGATGCCCAATTAATGCTGCCAATAGTCTCCTCACCAACTGGGTCGATGTGTTGAGGTACTCCAGTGCCGCTTCCCTACGATAAGTAAATTAATTTGAAAAATGATAAATTATGATAATTTTTTACTTTGACAAACTTGTAAATTATGAACATAACAATAAGTCATATATGTATATATATTCTATTATATAAAATACTTGGCTCGCTTCAGTGAAACTTTAATTGTCACATAATTTTGTCAAATATATATATATATATATACCTCAATCTAGTTGTTAAAGTAAAATTAATAAATCAAAAACCGTTTTCCACTACACATAAACTCTCTCCCTATCTCCACTCTCATCTATGATCCCCCTGGGAAATTATTTAATAAGCTCGCTTCAGTGAAACTTTAATTGTCACATAATTTTGTCAAATATATATATATATATATACCTCAATCTAGTTGTTAAAGTAAAATTAATAAATCAAAAACCGTTTTCCACTACACATAAACTCTCTCCCTATCTCCACTCTCATCTATGATCCCCTGGGAAATTATTTAATAATTTCAGAATATTACGTGGTCATACTCCAAATCAATCACTAATTACTTAGCCCTTATATTGTTCCCCAATCTCCAACATAAATCATGGGCCCCTACTCTTTTCTATCAATCAAAATCTTATGAAACATTACGTGTATATACTCCGGGAATACTTGTATTAAAAATTTCAATTGCACATGACAATATGCTTAGTGTTTTTAAATGAAGGTATCATAATATACCAAATCATTTTTTTTATAATTTTTTGTTATAATACTATTCATTAATTATTCAACTTTGTAATGATAATGATGATGTATAAGCCAATAGCAACAAGCAAAGAGTAATGATATACAAATTAATAATTCTTATAATTTTTTCTTACTCACCAGACTAACACCTATATTATATTTATATTGGGTCCATTTTAAATATTAAAATTTTATGATTATATGCCACCTTTATAAGCATAACAATTATAATTGAGAGGAAGATTTATGATCTGGTTTGGGCCGTGGAAATGGCCGGGCAGATCTAGGCCGAACAAGTTTGGGCCACGGTGAAACGGGTCTATCCTGAAAGGTTTTGCTCGATTAAGGCAAGGCGTGGTCGGACCGAGCTATTTGGCTTCATGGTATAGAAGTTGGTCAAGTGAGATGTCCGGCGCCAGGCCAAGCGTGGTCGGACCGAGCTACGTGGCTCCATGGTGTAGAAGCCAGTCAAGTGGGATGACCGGCGCCAGGCAAGGCGTGGAGTTTCCACGGTTCATGAGTTAGCTCGGCAGGAAGGCCGGTGGCAAACTAGTGTGAGCTGTCCCGAGCTCGGCTATGCCGGGATGCAATCAGATTTATGATCTGGTTTGGGCCGTGGAAATGGCCGGGCAGATCTAGGCCGAACAAGTTTGGGCCACAGTGAAACGGGTCTATCCTGAAAGGTTTTGCTCGATTAAGGCAAGGCGTGGTCGGACCGAGCTATTTGGCTTCATGGTATAGAAGCTGGTCAAGTGAGATGTCCGGCACCAGACCAAGCGTGGTCGGACCGAGCTACGTGGCTCCATGGTGTAGAAGCCAGTCAAGTGGGATGACCGGCGCCAGGCAAGGCGTGGAGTTTCCACGGTTCATGAGTTAGCTCGGCAGGAAGGCCGGTGGCAAACTAGTGTGAGCTGTCCCGAGCTCGGCTATGCCGGGATGCAATCGAGCTCGGTCCTCAATGAGCTTGGTTATTGGAACGCTTGGGCTTGAAGTGCAGCATGGTCGTTGGCAGCCAAGATGCTGCAATCCAGCTGCTGAGCTCCCAATAGAGTAGGTTGGCAGTTGGGTTAGGTGATGTTCAGCAAGATTTGTGCTGATAGATAGGATAGCAGCATCACGTGTCGAGAGACTAATGGGAGTAGATATGGGGCGTAGAAGGTATATAAGCGAGTCTGCGCCCCCCATACTGGACGGATGACATTTTGGTGAGATAAACACTAAACAGAACTCAGTCTTCTCTCTCTCTCTATCCCTGTGTGTGTGTCTAACTCGATCGTCGGAGGGGTTTTCCGGCCATACACCGCCGGGTAGCTCACCGCCGTTGTGCTCGCAGGTCTATCGGGCAGACAAGAGCTTGGAAGAAAGGAGTGCGGGCTTGCCTAAATATTTGGTAACACCGAAGCCCGGTGAAGAACTTTACCTTTATCTGGCCGTTTCACAGCATGCAGTCAGTGCAGTGCTTGTCCGGTCGGAAGGAATCAAGCACCTCCCTATCTTCTACGTCAGCAAAACCTTATTACCGGCAGAGTCGAGATACTTGCTGCTGGAAAAACTTGCGTTGGCATTAATGATGGCCTCGAGGAAGTTGGGGCACTATTTCCATGCGCATACAATAATCGTTCTGACCGAGTTCCCCCGCAAAGCTTTATTCGAACGGACGAACTTCTCCGGTTGAATTCTTAAGTGGGCGGTCGAGTTGGGACAGTTTGACGTAAAGTTCTAGCTGCGCACTGCCATGAAAGCCCAGACTTTGGCCGACTTCGTTGCTGAATTCTCACCCGAAACTCATCCGGTATGCTCGGTCGATATTGTCGCGGCAGATGAAGAGGTGAATGCAAGTTTGACCGAAATACCGCCGCTTAACGGTGTTGGCGACGCGGAACTTGCGCGCCCCGCCGAGGCACCTTCAGTTAATACGATACTACAGCCCGGCGATGCGATGACGGAGTTGGGTATCACCGACCAACCTGCTCTGTTCGGTACCATATCACCGAGGGGGGCTGAAATGGAACCGCTCAGCACAGAGCCTACGGCCGGCATAATACCGCAACCTGGCGATTCGCCTATGAACTTAGGCATTATGGATCAACTTGCTGAGTTCGGCGCCGAATCACCAAAGGGGGTTGAAGTGGAACCGCTCAGCACGGAACTGGAGGTCAAACAGCCCAGCAACCGTGATCCCATCAACCTTCAGGCTTCTCAGGACCCCTCAGAGTGTTGGAAGCTCTTTGTTGGCGAAATGTGAAAACTTTTTATTGATGGAGCCTCGAACCGTCACGGCACCGGGCTGGGCATAGTTCTGATTTCGCTAGACGGACTGACTATTGAACATTCTATCACCCTTGGCTTCCCAGCATCCAACAATGAGGTCGAGTACGAGGCGCTCTTGGTCGGGCTCAAGAGCGCGCTTCAGATGCAAGCATCCGAGCTAATGGTTTACAGTGATTCCCAGCTTGTGGTTAACCAAGTTTCTGGGGTTTACGAAGCAAAGGATGACCGAATGATGAAGTACCAAGCTCTAGTCAGGGACCACATCAAGCGATTTCAGGCGATCAGGGTCCAACAGATCGGCCGAGAAGAAAATGGCCGAGCAGATGAGTTGGCCGGCCTTGTTTCTATGGTCGACAGCCCATCTCCCAACCCTCTTTTGATTGAATTCCTTTCGAGGCCCAGCATTGAGGAAACCGGACAGACAGAAGTACTCTGCGCTGAGCTAGGTCCTTCTTGGATGGACCCAATCATCATTTTTCTCAAAGACCAGACCCTTCCAGCCGCCAAGAAGGAAGCACATAAAGTGCAGGTGAAGTCAGAGTGGTTTTGGCTCTCTCCATCTGGCGCTTTATACAAGAAGTCTTTCACCAGTCCCTACCTGAAGTGTGTGCACCCGAGCAGCGTGGAAGCCTTCCTGTACGAAATTCACAAAGGCATCTGTGGCAGTCACATAGGGGCAGATCTTTGGCCTACCGAGCTATTTCGCAGGGCTACTGGTGGCCGTGCATGCAAGCCGACGCGCAGAAGTATGTTCACAAGTCCGAGAAGTGCCAAAAGTTTACCCACCAGATCCACCAGTCGGCCAGGGAACTTCTTCCTCTCACCAGCCCTTGGCCCTTTGCAATGTGGGGGCTAGATATAGTGGGGCCACTTCCAACCGCACCAGGCAACCGGAAGTTCTTCATCGCGGCCACAGACTACTTCACCAAATGGGTTGAAGCAGAGCCTTTGGCAACAATCAAGGAGAAAGACGTCAAGCGATTTCTCTGGCAGAATGTGGTAACGCGGTTTGGCGTCCCCAAAATTCTGATCTCTGACAACGGCACCCAATTTGACGAACATTTTTTCAGAGGATTTTGTGAAGACTTGAAGATAGAATTCTACAACTCCACCCTGGCTTACCCGCAGTCTAATAATCAAGCTGAGACGTCAAACAAGACCATCCTTGATGGGTTAAAGAAAAGGCTGGAGAAGGCAAAGGGAAAGTGGGCTGAGGAACTCCCCAGCGTCCTTTAGGCATACCGAACAACCCCGCGGCGATCTACCGGGGAAACTCCTTTTGCTTTGGCATATGGCATGGAGGCAGTCATACTTTTGGAAGCTGGAATGCCCATCCTCAGAAGTGAAAGTTTTGAGCCCGAGCTGAACGCCGAAGCCATTGCCCTGGAATTGGACCTCGTGGATGAACGCCGAGAAAAGGCTCTCATCCATGTGGCCGCCTACCAACAAGAGCTCTCAAGGAAATACAACAAAACGGTGCACCCTAGACCGTTCAAAGTAGGTGATTGGGTCTTGAGGAAAGTTATGGGCAATACCCTGGTGCCAGGTGAAGGCAAACTAGGGGCAAATTGGGAAGGACCCTACAAGATAACCGGTCTGGCGGGCAAGGGGGCATACCACTTGGAGGACTTGGATGGTAGATGAATACCCCGGCCATGGAATGCGACCAACCTCAAACTGTATTATTTCTAGCTTTTGTTTTCTTTTCGCGCAAAGGAATTTTTTGCCTTACACTTCAGAATGTAATTTTTTGCGTCCTCCAGCTCTTTCTTCTTGGACTTTTTCAGTGCATCCAACTCGGCCTGGAGTGCATCTCTTTCTTTCTCGGCGTCACCAAGTTGGCCGAGCAACCGAGAGTTGTTCGCGTTTGCTATCTACAGTGAAAACTTTGCTTGGCCGAGCTCGGTTTGAAGGCTTTGAACTTGGCTGGCTGTGTCATTCGCCTTTTGCCGCAGTCGATGAATGCGCTCCATGACCAAGTGTTGCTTCTGGATGGCCTGCAAGAAGAGAGATTGATCAAAGAGGAAACCGTGCAAACACTTGTGAAAATTTGAGTAGAAGTTTGACTCTTACCCTGGACATGGACTTCACGGCCGACTTCACCAACCGGGTGTCTGGAACATGGTCGCTGTCGACCACATCACTCGGTAGGAGAAGGGCCTTGGAGAGGTCAAAGGCGAGAAGATGTTCTTTGTCGCCCTTCACGAAAGCTGTTGCCGGGATCTCCTTACCCTAGTATTTGAGCTGCGGTCGTCATGCCGGTGCTGGTTTGACGATGACGGCGGGTTGCTCTGTAGTCAGCTCTTCAATTAGCTCGGCAGAGGGGTCTGTGCGAGGCCGTTTCCCAACCTGGCGGTTGTCTTGGCTGGCTTGCCCGGCAGCAGGAGACGCTAGCGCAACCACGGCCCCGCTGGATTGACCGGCAGCTGGAGAGCGGGTGATGATGCTCGACATCTCAGTGGAAGTTGCTGTGAGGAGGTTCTTGATACGGCTTCATTTTTCCATCTCTTCTTCTTCGATTAACCGGATTAGGGGCACGTCCGGTAATGTTGGGTTTGGAGGAGGTGACGGAGCACGGAGGAAGTCAGTGACCTTACTCCGGCACGAAGCTGAGTATCTATATGTTGGGACGTAACCGAGTAGCTCGTTACAATCCCGGTGGTGGTAGCGGAGCACGGTCCGGATGGCTTCTTCGTTGGGGTAATGGTAGTTGGCTTGTAAGGCTTGGATCGCTGCAAAGGAAAGAAGAAAAATGTTTAAGTACAAATTATTGAGAAAAGGCAATTAACCGAGCCAGTTAGCACGGCTTACATGTCTCGCCGAAATGCTTGCTAATGAACCAGCCCGGTACGTCGGCCGTTTCATAATTGTCGGACACCCAGAAGAAGTCGTCGTCGTCGTGTAAGTCTTTGTCTGGAGTACCGGTCACTATTTTTTCTTTGCCCGGCCTAATCTTTAAGTAATAGGCGAGGCCATCGCCGGTGTACCCAAGGGTGTACTGTCGCAGTATCTCGGCTAAACCTAAGTTGGTCCCTAGCCGGTTATTTAGCTCATGGATGCCGTTGATTATTCGGTAGGTGTTGGTTGATACTTGTGTGGGTGCTAGCTCGGTACGGCGCAGGAATTCGGTCAGTAAAAGGTTGACCGGGAAGCGGAGGCCTCCTTCAATGATGGAAAGCACAGTGAAGGGGTACTGGTCTAATCTGCCTCAAGGGGTTGTCTCAATTTCGGCGAGCTCTAGGTGAACGTCTGCCGGGATACCGTAGTCTTCCCAAAACGCGGCCAAGGCAGCCGGAGTGTCAACAAGGAAGCGGAAGCGCCCCATGTGTAGTTGGCTGGATTAGCTCGGCCGAGGTGGTTTGGCACAGACTGGTGTCTTGATGGCTGTTCGGTCTTTGAGAGCCTTAATATTTGGTCAATGGTCTCCTTGGACTCTGCAGGAAAAGGATGGCAGTTGTAAGTGTGAGCGCGGTCGCGCAAAACGAGCTTGACTTTAGCTCGATCATGAAGAGTGCCAACCACCTCGGTCGTGAAGGTGAACCAAGGAGCTCGGTCGCTCAAGCGGACCAGATGTTAGCCTGTTCGAGCGGCCAAGTCCCTGCCTACCCCGGTTTCTGCTAAAGGTTTTGATAAATTAGTAAATTGCCCGGTCTTATTGTATTTTGGGATCAAAAGGCGACCTGGAGCCCGGTTCGCCCTATTTCTTCGTGTATTCATGTGTTCATCACTGGGATTGAAGAGCAACGAAGAAAATAGGGGCAAATGTGGGTTTTGGGAGGGTTATGTCCTAAAACCTACGGATTTGGTGCCCTAAAAGGAGTAATATCAAATGAAATGACAATAAGAAGAGTTGAAGGACTTACCAGTTGAGGGCAGGGACTACTTCTTCGAGCACGAGTACAAGAAAGAGCAGGAGTGAAGCTTACTAAGGATGCTTGAGCTCTGGAACATTGAAGGGTGGGTTTTGGGAGGGTTATGTCCTAAAACCTACGGATTTGGTGCCCTAAAAGGAGTAATATCAAATGAAATGACAATAAGAAGAGTTGAAGGACTTACCAGTTGAGGGCAGGGACTACTTCTTCGAGCACGAGTACAAGAAAGAGCAGGAGTAAAGCTTGCTAAGGATGCTTGAGCTCTGGAACATTGAAGGTTTAAGGTGAGACAGTAAGAATGGAAGGAAATGAGATGGGGCATGTTTATAGGGATGGAAAGGCCGCCCAAAATTTGAATTGAAGGGACGTGACTGTTAGCGGCTCAAGGCCAATCAGCGCACGACACGTGTCCCTATTAATGGCAGCGTTAGAGCTGAAGTGACAGGAAGGTCAGACGAGGCGTCGACCGAACAAGTCAAGCTACAAGAAGGTCAGACGAGGCGTCGACCGAGCAAGACAAGGAACCGAGCGCAGAAATTAGCCCGGTCGACTTCTTGCAAAACTGAGAACCGAGGAAGTGTTTACCCCGGTCATAACAGGTAGTCCCATTCACGCTTTGGCGGACGGAATTAAGAGGTAATTGAGAGGGAGATTTATGGTCTGGTTTAGGCCGTGGAAATGGCCGGGCAGATCTAGGCCGAACAAGTTTGGGCCGCGGTGAAACGGGCCTATCCTGAAAGGTTTTGCTCGGTTAAGGCAAGGCGTGGTCGGACCGAGCTATTTGGCTTCATGGTATAGAAACCGGTCAAGCGAGATGTCCGACGCCAGGCCAGGCATGGTCGGACCGAGCTACGTGGCTCCATGGTGTAGAAGCCAGTCAAGTGGGATGACCGGCGCTAGGCAAGGCGTGGAGTTTCCACCGTTCATGAGTTAGCTCGGCAGGAAGGCCAGTGGCAAACTAGTGTGAGCTGTCCCGAGCTTGGCTATGCCGGGATGCAATCGAGCTCGGTCCTCAATGAGCTTGGTTATTAGAACGCTTGGGCTTGAAGTGCAGCATGGCCGTTGGCAATCGAGATGCTGCAATCCAGTTGTCGAGCTCCCAGTAGAGTGGGCTGGCAGTTGGGTTAGGTGATGTTCAGCAAGATTTGTGCTGACAGATGGAATAGCAGCACCACGTGTCGAGAGACTAATGAGAGTAGATATGGGGCGCAGAAGGTGTATAAGCGAGTCTGCGCCCCCCATACTAGACGGATGACATTTTGGTGAGATAAACACTAAACAGAACTCAGTCCTCTCTCTCTCTCCCTATCCCTGTGTGTGTGTCTAACTCGATCGTCGGAGGGGTTTTCCGGCCACACATCGCCGGGTAGCTCACCGCCGTTGTGCTCGCAGGTCGATCGATCGATCAGACAGACAGGAGTTTGGAAGAAAGGAGTGCGGGCTTGCCTGAATATTTGCTCCCCACACAATAATTATAAGATTTGTTAGTTTGTTTAGTAATTTTCACAAACAAATATAAGCCTCGGTAACAACTACATCAAGCGCGCGCGAAAAAAAAAAAAAAAAAAAAAAAAAAAAAAAAAAAAAAAATTTTGAACATTTTCATTGATTTCAAAACTCTTTTCAAATTTCCATCTATTTTCAATACAATTTGTTTTTACCCAAATCCCACTATAAACAAAGCAAAGCAATCAACTGACATAATTGTAAGCTTACTTGCACTGATTAGGCCAATGTTGAAGAGCATCTTCATCATTAGTATAAACCATATTAAGAAAGTCCTTCCACTCCAAGGTCTTCTCTACCTCAGGCAAAAAGCTCGTCCCATACTTCACCAACGGACTCGTACTCACTCCTTTCATATACACCGCCTTTTTCTCCGTTGGCTGCCCAAAGAACCGGTGAGCCCCCTCCTTCACCGCCTCCAGCAACTGCACCGGCACACCGTGTTTCACCACCTGGAAAAACCCAAGAGTCTCAGCAGCCTTAGCAACAGCCTCAACCACCTGATCATGGTTGGGCCCATCAAGGCCCGATAAGTCGATTGCCGGTTGGTCGTGTGGATGTGCGGCAGTGGTTTTGCCAAATTGCTCGTTTGGTGGTTGGATGTATTGGTCGGGCACTTTTGATAGGCCTGAATCTGTCAATCCTTTGACGCCGTTGCCGTCTCGGACCACGAAGTTGAATAAGGAGTTTCCATCTTCGGAACTTGGAGCCATTTTTGAGTGTCAAAGCTTGCAAATGTGTGCTCTTTTATTTTTAAGTAATAAAAAATAGATATGCAGATATGCTTAGTTTAACATATCCGGCAAATAGTGTTATCTTTTATCATTTATAACATATATGTAGGATTCCCACCGCACCTAAAATGTTATATGAATATATGAGTTACACTTTGATCTAAAAAGTGTAATGTACTCTTTTTGTTTATTTATTTTATTTTATTCGCCACAATTATTTTGTTGAGAACCACTTTAGTAATTAAATACTAGAGAAGCGACTAGTCTGATAATGATATTTTGCCAACCATAATGAAATGAGAACCACATCCAGGCCCAGCTTGAGATTTTCGGGACTTTAAATTTTTGAAATCTTTCATATTTTTTTTTTCATTAAATAAAAAAAAATGAAGGTAAAAGATAAAAGATTTGTGTAAAATCACAAAAAATATTTAGTATTACATTACAACAACTAATAAATGTCGCTTGATCATCGCTCTTCTTGTATTTTTAGAAGAAAATAAATCCATAATATTTGCATAATCTAGTTTTTTTGCAAAATCATTTTTAATGGATAATAATGCTAATTATTTTAAATGGGCTTTCAATTTTTTAATGAATCAATTTATTTTAAGTTAATTTGGGTCTTTTTAAATTTTTTTTGAATTTAAAATATACCTAATATATTACAATAAACTATAATAGGAGGGGTCTTTTTTTGGAGTTTGTTTTTAATAGATAACAATGTTAATTTTTTTGAATAGGCCTATTAATTTTTTAATGAGTCTATTTATTTTAAGTTAGTTAAAATCTTTTTTAATTTTTTTTTAACTTAAAACATACCTAATATATTACACTAAATCATAATAGGAGAAATCATTTTTTAACTCTATTTTAAGGGACTTAGGATATGATCTGATTGGCCCTTGCCTAAGGCCGGCCTGACCACAACATATACTCTCTTTTAATCTTAGTTGCTGATTTCTTCTGAAAGCATGATTGAGGTCACCCTCAAAAGAAAAAGTCGGATTTGCTTTTTAAGTGTTTTTTTTTTTAATTTGTGTCTATAGTGAATTTTTTTAAAAAAAAATTAAAAAATATTTACTCTTCTAAATTTTAGATGAATCAGAAAATTATTTTTTTATATAAAAATTCCAAAAAAATATTTTTAAAAAAAGAGCAAAAAATAGTGAATTTTAGAAATTTTTTTGGCTTTGTCAAAAAAATTTTGATTCATCTATATAAGATGGATAAAAAAAATTTAAAAATCTTAAAAAGATGTAACTTTTATGTTATTTTATTTTTATTCATATTTCCAAACAGCGACTTGTGGATCTTTTTGTGGGAGTAGAATACCCGGCCCATTTCAGACTTTAGGCGGCTCAAATCTGAGGATGGGTCATGTAACTCTAAATATAAATAGATAGATTGTAATCTCAACTAAAAATAAGGGATAGGCCTGTTGGGCCAGACCAATCTTTGCGTTCTTGAACACCGAGGTCATCAAGCGGGTTCAACCCCCTATGATATTCTTTTTCTTTTAACACAATCCCAAATTATTTGTCAATTTGCTTCTTTCTTTCTTTTTTTTTCTTTTTTTTTTTTTTGTGGTGCAACTTCTTAAAAATTAAAAATTATAAAGTAGAAAATTAAATACAATTCTCTTAGATTTTCAATAATTAGTTTTTTTTTAATTTATTTAAATTAATTTTCTCTCATAAACTACAAGTACTCAAAATAAAAAACAAAGTTATAAACAAGCCTAATAAACATGGGCAAGACTCGATGGTTGGGCCATAATACAAAATACATAAGCCCATATGTGAATATTAGACTCAACCTCACATATGTCCTACTATTGGGCTAAATTCTTAACCAACTAGGCTCAATCATCTTCTTCTCCTACTAGGAATGGCAACGGGGCGGGGTCAGGGATCACACCTCCCATACTTGATCCTCGACGGTGGAAATTTCCCGGTCCCCGGCCCCGATCCCCGACAGGGAACCTATATCCACTCCCGCCCGTGCCCCCTAACGGGGATCGGGCTTCTCTAACCCAAAAATTTCCCGACCAAAAAAAAAAATAGATCCAACAACAAAAAAAAATCTGATGAGAGAGAGATAGTAGAGAGAGAGATATGTTCATCATCATCATCACCATTAACATATGAGCTCAAATGTTATAAAAAAAAATTAAAAAAAAAAAATCAGATCTAACAGATCTGTAACCTAATTATCATCATCATCATCAATAACAACATATATAGAAAGAGAGAGATCTGATGCTCAAATCTAATATATATATATACATAACAAATAGAGAGAGAGAGAGAGAGAGAGAGAGAGAGAAGGAAAATTCCAGATCTAGGGTCACCGCCGGATGGTGTCACTGCCGGATCGGATGGTGTCACTACAACTGCCGCAAATAGTGGTGATGGTGGCGGTGATTCGGCAAGCTTGGCCTCACTGTCATTGGAGAAGAAAAAGAGACAGTGGAACGATGGATAGAGGTTGGGGAAAGTAACTCAGATCTCGGCGGTGATGAAGGAGGGAGAGGAGGGAGATCGCGGTAATGGGAGGATGGAGATCGGCAAAGGGTTTTAGGGAGAGAGAGAGAGAGACAAGAGGTGGTGTTGAGTGAGGTGCTGCTCTGTGTGACGAGGGTTGGTTTTTATATATATATAGAGGGGTAAAATGGTAATTTTACTTCGGAGAAATTCGGGGTCGGGAACGAACCGAGGCTTGAACACTGATCCCCATCCCCGGCCCGAAACTGATCGGGGATTTAATTTCAAATACCATCCCCGTCCCCACGGGGGTATTTTTCGGGAAAAAACCATTCTAATCGGGGTCGGGGGATCGGGTCCTCGTCGGGCTGGGTTTAAATTGCCATCCCTGTCCCCTACATCAGCTTCATCCCTATCTTTGTGGCGCATTTTAATTTTTGTTTTTGCTTGTATTGAGTGTAATGTAAACAAACAAGATTTAAAAAAAAATAAAATTATATCCACATGACATGGGAACAACTATTATGATTAATTATTCCTATAAAACATATTAATTTATTTAATATTACTTGCATTGTGATATTTACACGCAAAAATGATGTATATCTTTATTTATCACACGTGGTGAGAGAGAGAAAGATGTTTGATGATGCAGTAACTTCAATGGAGAATGGGTCAGATTGATCCACGCTTGCAACGAGTCTGCTGGTCTTTGTATCTTTAAAGCGTGGCCGTAAAAAAAACCAAAAGGGGAGATAATCTCTCGACGGACACTTCGACGATCAAGTTAGGTTGGGATAGATTGATTTGAGAGAGGGAGAAGTAAGAGAATAGAAAAACTTAACCTCTAACGTATCTCGAAGGCTTCTTTATATCATTTGCTTGTCATTTCCTTGTTCCTTGTAAGCCGTCTTATTAGCCAAAAGTCTATAGCCTAGTTAATATCGTTCATGGTGATTCTGCATACTCTGGTGCGAGAGGCCTTGCCGCATTTAATGCTACGCGAGCCTCATTAAATGGTTGAAGCGTGGGTGTAATAACTTTATATGATCTTTGTCTGCTTACGTAGTTAATTCTTTGCCTGCGTTTGAATGCTATTGATTCTGATCTAACATTGGCTTCTCAAAGTTACTAGACTTTAATGCCCAGCGGTAAGCTGGGCCTTGAGCCGCGGACTGGGCTCTCTCAGGTGCCCAGTGGGTTGGGCTTTCTTGAGTGCCTGTCAGTATCGATGTTTAAAATTTTCATAATAGTTTAATCAGAATCAAGCTTATGACAGTAACTGAGAACAAAAGAAAAAAACAGAAGTTTGAATAACATTAAAAAATAACAAAAAAGCATTCCCGTTGTCATTGACCCCCTTTAATTCAGTTTCCATCTTCCTTATATGTATAATATCTTGCAATGATCTAATAAAGATATTACACATTCATCTGCACGTGCAAAGATTCTATGTAAATGTTGTTTTCCTTAGTGAGTCGACATTAAAGACCAAGAAAAAGGTGATAGCAACCATAGAAATGCTATTGGCCGTATACGGTTTATTTTTGAGAAAAAAATCAAAACTAATTTGATAAAAATAAATATTAAAAAGTATTTTAAAATTATTTTTGATTTTTTTAAATATTTTAAAAATTATTTTTGATTTTTAAAAGATAAAATTATGTAAAAATAATAAGTATTTTTGTTTTTTTATTTTTTTATTTTAATTTTCTTTCACCAAATTAGTTTTTAGTTTTTCAAAAAAATAAATAAAAATTAAACCCAGTTTTGAAAACCAAACATGGCCTATGTGTTTAGGGAAAAAAATGTTATAACTTAAAATGTATGAATTTAATTCATTTTATTTGATGTAATTCACACCAAATCAAATAGTAAATTTAAATTCTAACTACTTATGTAAGTAGATATGATGTTACAGAATACACCCTCGAATTAGATATAGTTTTAAATTCTAATAGATGAAGTGGTCTCTCAAATTCAAGAGAAAGATAGAACTTTGCAAAAAATAAAATAAAATTATGAATCTTATTAAAAAAAATTTGTCTTTGCTCCAATTACACTAATGGTGCATATAGTTTGGGACTTGTATTACTTTGATTCTTGACTTTTTAATTGTAATACATTTAATTTTGAATTTTGAATATCGCTCCAAATAAGGACAATTGAAGATACAATTTTCTTTAAAAACAAAAAATGCTCAATTTTAAAGACAAAATTGTCAATATGATAAAATATAAATTAGTTTGACAAAAATAAATTCACACCAAATCAAATAGTAAATTTAAATTCTAAATACTTATGTAAGTAGATATGATGTTACAGAATACACCCTCGAATTAGATATAGTTTTAAATTCTAATAGATGAAATGGTCTCTCAAATTCAAGAGAAAGATAGAACTTTGCAAAAAATAAAATAAAATTATGAATCTTATTAAAAAAAATTTGTCTTTGTTCCAATTACACTAATGGTGCATATAGTTTGGGATTTGTATTATTTTGATTTCTGACTTTTTAATTGTAATACATTTGATTCTGAATTTTGAATATCGCTCCAAATAAGGACAATTGAAGATACAATTTTCTTTAAAAACAAAAAATGCTCAATTTTAAAGGCAAAATTGTCAATATGATAAAATATAAATT